CTTTGTGAAGACTCTAGGCCAGTTTATTTGTTTTTGTTTGGTTTTGTGGTGTTGGGGTTGCTCCCAGGGCCTTTTCCTCACTGGGCTCAAATTGTGATTCTCCTGTCTCAGACTTCCAGGGTATTAGCTTCATAGATATATACCACCATGCCACACTAGACTAATGTTTCAGAATGTCCCTCAGCTTAGACTTCATTGTTTCTTTTTGATTAGATTCAAATTCAGTATTGCTTTGGGAGGAATTCTATGCAAGTGGCATTGTGTCTCTATGTTGCACTATATGTTTTTTTTTTCAATTTTAAAGAAAATGAAACAAAACAAAACAGAACAAAGCAAATCACAACAGAACAATGCAAGTAATGCAGTCCTTCAAAACAAGACAACAGAAAATCAACAGTGACACCACAACGTCTCTTGTTTTCTTTAAAGTAACTGTCCATACCTTCACACATAACAAAATCAAATAATAGAAAACAGATTAAAACCAATCAAAATAAAAGAATGAAAGCATAGGACTTCAAAACAAGGTAACAGGAATTAACAATGGCTACTATGATGGCTTATTTTCTTCAAAATAGCCATCCATATGATCATACAAAATGAAATTAAATAAAACACAACAATAAAACCAATAAAAAAGAAAAAAAGCATTAAAGGACTTCCTCTCTTCTACAAGCTTTGGGCTTGACTTGCTCTTCCTTTTCTAGAAGCTTGAGTTGTAGCATTATTTGTGCTTGCTATGTTTTCCTGATGTGACAATTCATTGCTATATATTTCACTCTTAGGACCATTTTCATTGTGTCCCATAGGTTTCAGTATGTTGTATATGCATTTTCATTGAATTGTAAGTATTGTTTAATTTCTCTAATTTCACTTATAATCCATTGGTTGTTCAAGAGTTTGTTATTTAATTTCCATGTGTTCATGTAAGTTTTATAGTTTCATTTGCTATTAATTTCCAATTTCAGCCCACTATGGTCAGATAATAGGCATAGAATAATTTCAATCTCTTTGCTTTTCCTTAAAAATATTCTGTGGGCTAAAATATGGTCAATTTTAGAGACTTTCCCATGCGCACCTGAGAAGAATGTGTATTCTGATGTGGTTGGGTGGCACACTCTGTAAACATATACTAAGTTCATTTGTTCACAGGTTTGATTTAGTTCTGTTATTTCTTTGTTGATTTTTTGGTCTAGTTGATCTGTCTCTTTGTGTCAATAGGGTGTTAAGTTCTCCCTGTTATAATTGTGTTATTGCTTATTTGATTTTTCATTTCTATTAATATTTGTTTTATACATTGAGAGCTCCCATATTTGGTGCATATATATTTATGATTGTTAGCTCTTCCTCTTGAATTTTTCTACTAACAAGTATTTAATGACTGTCTTTATCTCTTGATCATTTTTGGTTTGAAGTTCACATTGTCTGCAAAGAAAATAACTACCCTTGCTTTTTTCTGGATTCCTGTTGCATGGAATATTGTTTTCCATCCTTCAGCTTTTACCTGTGAGTTTCATTTTGAATCATATGTGTTTCCCGTATTCAGCATACATGTTGCATCCTGTTTCTTGATCAATTTTGTCAATCTATTTCTTTTAATGGATTAAAACTGAGGCCACTTATATTGATGAGTACAACTGATATGTACTGGCTCAACTTTGTTATGTTATTTTCCTGTTGTTGGTTTCCTGCTTTTCCCCCTTGTTTAATTGCTTCTCCTGCCTGGTGGTTTTCTTTCTGTTGTTGTTCTGGAAATTGTACTCATTTTTCTCTCTATCTAGTACGTTTTTCAGTATTCTTTCTAGGATTGATTTGGTGAACATGAATGTCTTCATTTGTTCTTTGCCATAGAAGTATTTTATGTCTCCATTAATTTTCAAAGAATCTGGGTTGAAATTGTTTTTTTTCATGGCCTGAAACACTTTGTTCCATATTCATCTTGAATTGAGGGTTTATGCTGAGAAGTCTGGCATGATTCTAATAGGCTTTCCCTGATAAATGAATTGTGTCTTTTCTCTAACAGCTTTTAGTATTCTGTTTTTATGCTGAATTTCTGGAATCTCAATTATTATATGTCTGGGATAGATTTAGTTTGGTTATGACTGTTTGGCATTCTATATGCCTCACTTATCTGTATATCACATTCTTTCCCCATGTTTGGGAAATTTTGTGTTATTACTTCTGTGAATAGTTTACTGATGTTATTTGTGTTGAGGGGGGAGGCTGACCAATGATCCCATCAGTCTCCAAGGTCATAGCGCAAGGAGGAGGGGAGATCAGTGATCCCGCTGGCCTCTTAGGTCCATGGAACAAGAAGACAGGAGTGGCCAACCATCCTGGCAGACCCTAGATCTATGGAGCAAAGAGGGTCAAGGCCAACAATCCCAGTGGCCCCTTGGTCCATGGAGCAAAGAAGGGGATAAGGCTAACAATTCTGCTGGCATCTAGGTCCATGGAGAGAGGAGAAGGGTAAGGCTGATGATCCCGGTGGCCCGTAGGTCTGTGAGGTAAGGAGAGGGGCAAGGCTGATGATCCAGCTGGCCACAAGGTCTGTGGGGCAAGGCCGATGATTTTGCTGGCTCCTAGGTCTTGGGGCAAGGAGGAGGACTTGGGTTCTTAAAATGAAAATGAGAGTACTGTATGAAACTACCTGAAGCCTACCCTGAAGGTAGGAGGTTACTGAGAGGAAGGTACACTGAGTTTGTGGAGATTCACACCATGCTGGCCGCTTCCATTGGATGTGACACAAAGGTAAAGGAGTTACTCTTTTTGACAACAGAAGGAAGACATTCAGTTATGTCTATATGCTGCAAAGGAAGCTAGGATTTGAACTCTATTGTGATGTGTTAGGAAGTGCAGCCTTTGGGAAGTAATTAAGTCATGAGAGTGAACCCTGTGTGTGGGATTAATGTTCTTATAAAAGGGAGCCAGAATGTCCTCTCACTTTCTTTTCATCATGTAAAGAGAAACAGCCATATCATGCACACAAGGAGCTGGCTGTGTCTAACTCAGAAGTGGCCCTCACCAGAACTAGACCCTGTTAGAACTCTGATTGAAGACTTCCATTGTCTAGAACTGTGAGAAATACATTCTGTTGTTTAAGCAGCTCAGACCATGATACATTGTAAAGCAGCCCTAATGAACTAGGGTACAGCCCCAAAGTAGCTTTTGTTCCTGGAGAATCCACAGAAAATCTTCTCTGGCCAGGTAGTCACCTGCAGCTGGTAGAACAGAGCAGACACTGCAGTGAGGACTCACTCAAGTGACAACCTAGGGACTGATTGACCTTCAGAAATACTTGAAGAAGAAAGGAGGTGGACTACTTGGTTTATTGCAAGTACATGTGAGGTAAGGGCCAGACTAATCTGGAATACAGGCTAAGTGATCATTTACAGTGATGTGAACATGATAGTCATGATTACCTAAGACATGAAGGCTCAGTGGGGTCTGCTGGTCTTAGGGCCAAATAGTCATGAAGTGGTTGGAATTCACAGAATGGGAATTAATGACCCACTACTGTTTCCACTTAGCAAAGAAGAAGGAAAAAATTTAGAAGAATGAAAAGAGGATAGATCACAAATAACCTCAAAATTGCCTGTACATACTGGCCAGACAGACCATCCTCACGAGCCTTGGACTGAGGGAGTGATTCCTAGGAACCCCCAGGGAAGCCCCATCCATGGGATGATAGAGATGAGGAACATGCCTTACTGGCTCTGGGCTCCAATGACCAAGGACAAAGAATGGGACCAGTGAAGGAGAAAGTGTACCTCAGCAAAATAGAAACAATCATATACACACTGAACACAGGCAAGAAACCAGAGAATAAAGAAAGGGGACGTTTGGCCCTTAGTATGTTATGCTTATTTGTTGGGCAATATCTACCAATCGTGGCAGAGTATGAGGCCTTCATGGAAACACTTCCGCAAAAGCACAGGATCAGCCTTGATGGAGACATAGCCAGTAATCAGTGCAAACCTTGGCTTATCTTTTTGAAATCTCTGAGCATCATTTATAAGAAAAACACACTTGTCTTCCAAGACTAACTTAGCTTTCATGCACTGTCTGTTGCCTCCCCCTAGTGACTGGAAATATGCAGTGTCCTACATGTCTGCAGGCAGATCCCAAAACTCAAATGACAAGATTGCACGTGCCTCCAACTGCTCTCACACAGTTCACTCTGGAAAACAGGAGGCATTCTACCCCCATCACCTCATGTGACAGGGTTTTTGGGCCAGTTGACCAAAACGGGAGAAAAGAAACACCCAAGGCTTACAGTCAGGCCTGTACCTTTGTGCACAGGATGTGATCTCCATCCAGCCCAAGGCTTGAACTCCAGGCTGTGTCTCAACCCGAGAGACAGGGCAAAGACAGTAAGCCTCACAGACATGCTCTAAGTGATGCTGGCCTGTGCAAGGTGTGTGGAGTGAGCTCAGACCTCCGTAGACTCTGCAAGATGGCTGCTGCTCCCCTGAATGGCCTTCTTTATTTCTTCAGAATCTCATGTATAGTTTCCGGGCCTGCTTGACCCCTTATATCTAGCTGAAAAATGTATTACAATCATTGCTTGAAATTCCTTTCTATTCAGTTTTCCTTGTTTTCCAGTTACTTTTCCTTTCTTAGTTTGGCTCCTGGGCTTTCTGACAGTTCACCACATGGGAGGAGAATTGTGACATTACAAGAAATGCATGGTCTCCGGTGTTCCTTTCCCAGTGGTCTCTCAGGTTCCACAAGAGTCCACAAGTCTGGGGCACTCAGAGAACCAAGCTCATTCAGAAGAACACACTCAGAACAGATTCCACCCAGCCAGATCCTTCCCTCCGGGCCTGCAGTCCCTTGTGGTTAAAGAGGAAATAGGGGATATGAATGGGTGAAGAATTGGGCAAGGAGGGCTTGAAGACTAAATCACTGAGTGAGCTTTTATAACATATGAGTTATTAAACACATACATGCATGTATGCACGCACACATTAAGAGTTTCAGCTTGATTATAGGCTTACCTGTCTGCTGGGGGTTGGTGGAAAGCAATGTCTGAAGTCAGCTACTGAAAATAGGCCCTGCTCCTGGACTTAACAGATGTCAGGATGGAGAGCAAGCAGCCTGTTCTTCAGCAAACACCTTCAATGCAGGCAGAAGCCACCAGGCTGCTGTTGGAGTTGGCTTTCTCTGCTTCATGGAAGAGTCACTAGTCTGACATGTCTTTCTGGGGTACTTTGATATAATAAACATGAAAGAAAGTAGAAAAGGCAATGAAGAACCACAGAAATTCCTTCATCCTGGTGCCTCCATCCTACTGCTGAAGAGAATACCTCCAAACTGCAGAGGGATAGAACTCTTCTCATTGTGCCCTAGGAATTCTTTCCAAAATTTATGCTCTGGGCTGTGAGACATCAGCCTGTCACATGCACTGCTGGAGTGAAGTTAGAGAATTTGTACTCCTGTCCTTAAGGGACAAATAGCATAATCCTGCATGACTTCCTGCCTGCCTTGAAGCCTATGCCAATGACACATAGAAAAGGACAAACCAACAGCCAAGGACGCTTGGGGAACCCAGGCATACTCCAGCATAGTGCATCCTATATGAACTCAATGAATGTTTGTTCAGTTGAATTGAAGGGTTCAATGCATATGTATTGAGGAAACTCTAAGATGCACCCAACAGTTAGGTGATGGTGGGTGAAGGGACAGGACCATGAAGAGACTACTTTTCCTCTTGAAGATGTACATTGTGAATATCTCCTAAGACGTGGGCACTGTGTGAGATGCTTGGCCGTGTTTCTCATTTGGCCCCACAGTGACCCATGAAGAGGGTGTCAGAATCCCTGCTGGACAGTGTGAAGCCTGGTCTGAAAGCGTAGGTTTCAGCTCAAGGGGCACAACAAGAATTCAGAGCCAAGTCTGGACACTTAGAGGTGGCCTGATCACAACACTGATGCCCTGAGAACCAGAAAATGTTACTGTGCCTAGGAGTTGTCATCTAAACCCCCAATCAGGGACACCCCCCCCCAATTGGCACCCCCAATCAGAGGCAACTTTGGGGAAGGCTGCACTCACTGGCAAGCCTGGTCAAACAGGCAAGCTGTGTACCTGGTCATCATTCTAAATATCCAAATCTTTGCTATATCTATCAGTGGGAGGACACACCACTCAGGAACATTAAGGAATTCTTTAGCATTATGAAGCAAGCCCAAAAGAATCAAGTGTTAATAACCATATTCTCTCCAAGGAATGAGTTTAGCCAGCATAATCTGTAGTATCACACAACTGAAGAAACTCTGATGGAGCTGTGAGACCTTGGACAAGTCACACAATCTCTCCAAGCCCATTTTTCATTTGTACAACAGGATAAAAAGAGAATCTACTTCACTTAGTGTAAAGTTGAAAGAGAATACATGCTTAAAGTACTTAACAGCATCTAGAACATAGCAGTTGTTTAATTAATGCTTGCTATTGCTATTACTAATGCCAATCATGATTCCACACAAGAGACAGATGACCTGTAGCAGGAAGACCTCAGAGGGAAATTTCTAAACTTTCCTTTGCTAGGAATTAAAGAAGGGCTTTAATGTCTCCACTTCTTTTGCTTTGAATTATGTAAGAGTCATGCCTTCCTCTTCTTCTGCCTCCTGGGTGGGGGAAGAGTATCTTGACTGGCCAGCAGACACCAGTGTGTTCAGGGGTACAGTCACAGGAGCCAGAGCTTGGCTCCCTGCCATCCACACATCAAAGCCTGGCCACATTTCCTTGGATCAAAGTGTCCAAGACCTAGTGCAAGAGATAACTAATATCATCTGCCTGGGCACACACAATGCTGTAAACACGGCCACCACTGGCTGCACTTTGAAGGGAAAGGTGTTTTTGCTTTACTACCGCTGGTCAAGTATACACACAGTATACCACATCATATTTATCCGGGATTTCTAGAGAAACAGATCCATTAGACTAGGTGTGTGGGTGTGTGTGTGTGAGTGGGGGGGGTGTACGCACGTACACGCATGCGCATGTGTGAATATGATTCTTTGTGATTATAGATGTTGGCAAGTCCCAGGGTCTGAAGGAGAGTCAGCAAGCTGAAGATGCAGGAAAAGTTTCAATTCAAGTCTCAAAGGTAAGAAAAAGCCAGGGTCCCTGTCTGAAGGCAGCCTGGCTGGAGGAATTCCTTCTCACTCAAGGGAGGCTTTGTTCTACCCAGGGCTTTTGGCTGATTGGTGGCTCACACACATTAGAGAGGGAAATTTGCTTTATTCAGTTTACCTATTTAGGTGTTAATGTCCCAACATGCCCTCACAGAAATACTCAGAATGTTTATGCACCACAAATATCTGGGTACCCTATCACCCAGTCAATGTGCAGAATTAACCACCACATCATGCAGGATGAAGCTTTTCCTCCCTGAGCTGCAGTCCTGTCTTCCAGAGCTCCACCCTCTTCAGCCTAAGAGTAACGATGAAGGCTTTGACCCTGCTCCTTCGGGTGACCAGAAAGCTTCCAGACTGGGTAAGAGCCAACTCATGCCCCTGTCATGAACACACACTCCCCAAGTGGCACATCCCAGGCAGCACCAGGAGGGCCTGCCACACAGCTAAAGGACATGGTCAGACCCCATTGGAAATCTGGTTCTTCTTCCTGGCCAGTTGAAAATATTACTTAATCTCTCAGCCCTGTTTCTTCATGCTTAAAACAAGCTCAATAATATCTCCTTCTCAAGGGGGAAATTAGGACAATAATGGTAATGCATACAAAACAGTTGGCCTTGTCAGGGTCCCGGAAGGGGGCTTTGCCTGGTATCAGTGCTGGCCCAGCAGTCTGGAGTGTGTCCTTTCCACTTACCCAGCCTACTCACGCAGCACCCTCCATTGCCGAGGCTAATGACCTCTCTTGTGCCTCTTATGTTATTCTTGCTATTTGCTACAGTTAATTATTGCAGAAATCTGTTAGGTGCAACCCTCCAGAGACTCCTGCCCAGAACAGCTTACAGTTCTTCCCATTAAAAATGAGCACGCTCAACTCTTCCTGTGCCAATTCCCCTAATCAAAGCAATGTAACCAATTGACACAAATTTTGAGTAAAGCATCCTGCCTCAAATCCCATTTCTCTTGAGCTCCTTAAATGACTTTCAGTCCCGTGTTAAATGAAATCTTTCTTTTCAGGGATGGTAAGAGATGTTTAATATTCCATAGCCACTCAGCTAGGGAGCTGGCTCTCCGCTTCATTCCTTCTGGACTCCACTTCTGCTCGTTCCCATTTTCTTTCTCACTAACACCCCTTCTTGCCTGTTTTCCCATCCTGGTATTGGTGTTGAGGATGAGGACTGAACACAGGCTAAACATTTACTATATGCCAGGCACTGATAGGAGCAATTTACATGTAGTAATTTACTTCCTGCAACATTTCTATGATTCCTACTCTACAGATGAGGCTGGGGCACCGAAGTGTTTGAAGAGCTGGCCAATGTCACAAACCAGTAGGTGCCAAACCCAACATATATTAATGATATTCCAGTCATTTTGAGCCCTTCTTTGACTCTCATCCTTTGCCTTTAACTCTTACCAGGTCTTGCCCCGTGTGCCTCTTAAAAAACTACTGGAGCATCCATTTCTGCCCATATATGGTACTGCCATGGCCTGGCTCTCACTGCTGCCTGGATTCTCATTTTCTACAGCCTTCCTGCTGGTCTCACTTTGTCCACTGGCCTCCTCTTTGTCACCATTCTCCACACAACCACCTGAAAACAGCCATTCTCTTATTCAACAAAATACCCTGCTAAGTGGTAGGCATGGTTGTGGACTCTGGTGCTGCTCAAATGGGTAAAACTGTTCTTGAGACTTCCAGAAAGACGGTGGACCAGTCAGCAATGCAGGTTAGCCTCTCCAAGATTCAGAATCCAAACAACGTGGAGAAGAAAAGGAGGGAGGTGGATCCCTGGACCCAGGAAGGATATGAAGGGGGGGGGGTTGGAGCCTACAGGGAAAGTGAAGAAATAGATTTCAATGCAAGAAAAGAAAGTGGCAAGCTGTACTTTCTCCCTGACCTCCAGCTCATGGCAAGAGAGGAGGCTCGACTCTACAGAGACACAGTGAAGACAGGTGACCACAGAGGCCTCCATGGTCAGTGACTCCAGAGGCCTTCATGGAAAAACATGCCAGTGGAGTGAAGCAGTGTATTCTGTGAATGACAGCAGCCAGTGAGTGAGTGACTCTAGTCCAAGTGTCCCTAGAGAGGGAGCTTAGACAGATTCCATTTTAGGGAGGGACCAACTAACCCAACATTCAGAGCAGCCATGGGTTGGCTCCCTATTAGAGCTCCCATTGACTGGGTGAGGAACAACTGTAGAAGACATTCAGGGTCAGGCAGCTGAGGACAGGCCAGCAAGAGATGCCCAGAGTGCTGCAGGCTGAACAACTGAGGCCTCAACCCATCACAGAGGCCAAGATCAGTCTGAACTTCTGTGGAGTTGAAAGTACCAGAATCGACACTCCACATTATCTTAGTGTAGGCTTGCTGGGATCACCCAGAACAGGCCTGGGCTCTGTCCGTCTCCTTTGTCTTCCAAAGATGGCAGACACACACCCTGACCTGGATACTACTCCAAAGCTGTAGACCTCAGAAGATAACCACAGGCTTACAATTACACAGAAATCTCTTTTTGTTTTTCTGTTTTCATTCTTGTTGATTTTCATGAGTGTCAATATTGACTTTTAGAGGTTTTGGTGAGGGTGGGCTTTGTTTACTTGTTTTTCCCTTATCTTTCTTTAATTCACTCCTGTTTCCTTTGCCAAGTTTCTGAAGCTTGGGTAACCCTCCTTTGTGCTTCAGCCTTGCTGCTAATCGCTTTCTCTTTCTTATTTTTCTATTTTTTTCTCATCTCTCTTAAATTTTCTCCCACAAAAGTAAAACCACTCCACTGTGTTAATATTTACTGTATATAATTCTCTGGTCTTTCTCAAATTTTCTTATACAACTATAAATCTTGTACCCATGGTTTAAAGTGACTAATAATTACTACATTTTGTCACTTTCCAGACTGTACCTCCTGCTATTATTACCAGTTGTACTGTAGCCAAGGCGACATAGCTGTTGTAATCAGTGATCAGTTATTCTTCCTTGTATACAAATACTGAGATTGTCTAAAGGTCACAAACAATACCATAGTCCAGCAACAAACAACTGGATGTTAGGACAAACAGACAGCAACTTGTTATCCTTAAGAAGTTGAAGGGGCAGGATCTTGGGACAGAATCAAGAGCCAAAAGTCAGCTATATCTAAAATATATCTCTAAAAAATAGACATTTCTTAAG